ACAGGTAGGATCCCACTGCTGCTTAAAGCTGTCAAGTTTGAAGACCCCTGCAATATAGCAATAACTGAGAATGTTCAGGGTTGAAGCCCACAGACCTAAAGAAGAGATTCACCAGGATGGAGGAAGAACAGCATTAGAAAGTGACTTAGAGAAGAATACAACATTATTTAGTTTAGTTTACTTTATTGTCATTGCACCTCGTACAACGAAATCAAACACCATCTTCGGTGCCCATGATGACCATAAGCATGAAAATAAACACAAACACACATCCTTCACCCTCCACACATTGAACCGGGAACCGCCGACACCACCCCGACACTGCACTATACTGTACATGATATTATACACTATACACTATATTATGTCTGCTGTGGAGAAATATTTTCATTTGTTGGGAATTCATTGAACTTAAGATGTAAGAGCTGCTCTCCTTTCCAAAAGATATTAGATGAGCCACGCAGATTCAGACTATCAAAAACTGTTGCTGACCCCCGCCCCTTTTTTTATTTTTTCCTGTTTACCAGAATCGCAGGTCTGCTTTTGCAACTTGAGGAATCTCCGAGAAGAAAATGGCGCTTCCCAAGTGCAAGAATCCATCAACAATTTATGCACCTTGGCAGAGACTAAACTGGCTGGAGTCCTGCGGGCCATTTGCAAATATCGCCATAGCATCCATAAGGTAGACACTCTTCCAAGTGCTCAGAATACCTCAAATTAGGTATAAACTCTGCTGAACCTGCGACCTCCTTTTGGCCTACCTCCAAAGGCAGCCCTAGTAGGGTGTGTTATAGTCGGTGGTGCGATTCAACCGGTGTAACAACTGGTTCGGTGATCGTGAGCTTTGCATGCGTGCACACCCTTTTAAAAAGCCCATTTTCAGCCCTAATACTTGCCTTCTACTGCAGCCCCGGTGAGTAAAACAGCTGAGGCACGGCAAAACCGGTTCACCTGAACTGGTGCGAACTGGTAGAACGGGCCAAAAATCAGCTGGGAGGCACACTACGCATGCTCAGGGTAGGTAAGTTTGTCTGGGGCTCGCGTGCCTGCACAAATGGGTCTGCGTGCCACCTGTGGCATGCGTTCCATAGGTTCACCATCACGGCCCTACCCCATGGGCGTTCATGAGAGACCTGAGCGACAATACCATTATCAAGCCCCATCATTCTAGGGGACAACAAAAGGTGTTTCTGATAAACTTTTTAATGGTAAGAGAAGCTGAAAAGCATTTTTCATCCATGCCAGAAGCATCACAATTAAAATGAGGCATATTATATGCGTAACATTTAAAATAAAAAATAGACGATTATTTGGCATATTGGTCTGGAAATAAATCATGTCTCTTAACCCAAAAGTGATTTTTTTTCCAAAAGGCATCTAGACTGGGTTGTTGTTGTTTTTTACTCTGAAAACATTTCCTCCAAGAAGCTTCTTCAGAACTGTTTACAAACATGTTGTTTTTTTACAAATGTTATTAAGTACATTATTTGAAAACATTGAACGCGGTGAAATCCTTTTTGACGTATTTTTTTGTCTTACATCTTATATAGAATATATACGTGATATACATTTATACATATTGAATCTTTAGACTTTTAATTTTCTTTAATTACATCATCCACCATCCTCAGTTTTAGTTTAATCACATGATCTCGGATATCCCCTCTACAAATCCTATTTCTCTTTTTTGCTTTGAGTCCTCCCTTTCTGTTCCCATCAATAATAAAATTTATTCCAAACTATATAATATTCTGACTCATCCTTATGTTTCATTTCTAGACTCATTCTGTCCATTTCAGTGCATGTGTTTACAAACGTTTTCAAAGGGGAAAAAAACCACCAAGAAAGTCCAGTTGTTGTCAGGATTCCAGCAATCGCCCTAATTAAATTATGATTCTCGAGCCAAACTTCAAAAAACTTCAAAAGGATTCATTAGAGGCGACATACTGGCCCTGCCCTATATACAGCCAACTCTCGCATACCTCATTTATAGTCCCCTGTGACCCTGTTTCCCCTCTGGGTGTCTCATAAACCAGATTCTCCAATTGAGCACGTTCACAGGCTGGGTGTCACCATTCACGCTCTCCAATTAAATATATTAACGAGCAAACGCTCTGGTATTTTAGTTACAATCTTTTAAAGATAAGAGTTGGAATGTACTTTCGCTTTCAACTGCTCTTCCAGATCTCCTTCCTCCCCTTTTTTAAAAAATAATGTTTTTTATTGTTTTTCACCAGTACAAATCATAATTATATTTTCAACACTTTGCATTGACATATAATATTGTCTTATATTTCTATCATCTATTCATATATATCACCAATAATTGTAATCTTTACTTATATTTGTTAATAAAATAATAATAATAGCTTTATCTATTTTATGTATCTACGTTTCTATGTATCACTGTCTTAGGTATTCTCCTATGTAATCTTCCTTTTTCAATCCTTATCTCTATTTTCTAACCATCCATACCATCTATGCCAAATGGCGTAATAATCAGGTTTTTCTTTTTCCTTCATTTCTAGTCTGAGCATATCCATTTCTGCTCAGTCTGCTATTTTTTGAAAGACTAATTCTTCTGTTGAACCTTGGGCCCTTTCCACATTTGCACGTAGGCTATTCTGGCCACTGTTAAAATATGTAATACTATGTATTTTATCTTTTTTGGATATTGATTTTTGATGATCCCCAATAGATAGAGTTCTGGCTTGAGTTCAATTTGATGTCTGGTAATTTCTTGTATCCAATCTTTGATTTTGGTCCAATAAGTCCTGGCCTTGGGGCATAGGCACCACATGTGGTAAAAGGTACCGTCAACTTGTTGACATTTCCAACATTTTGAGCTGGTATTTGGGTATATCTTAGCTAATCTTGCCGGGGCTAAGTGCCACCGGTAAAACATTTTGCATAAATTTTCTTCATATGTTGAGGTTGTTGTTAATTTGTAATTTATATTCCATAGTTTTTCCCATTCTTCTAAATTTATATTGTAGCCAAAATTCCGTGCCCATGATATTACAGTATTCTTAACTGTGTCCTCTTCCATTTTTAAGTCTAACAGATACTTATATGTTTTGGATATGAATTTTTGTTCTGGTCGAAGTAGAATTTTGTCCAGTTGATTTTGCCCCATATCAAATTCAAATTCTTCTAAGTCTGTTTTGTATCCCTCTCCTCTTTTTTATGGCAACTACTAAAACAGGCATAGGAATGTTTTATGAGTTGACAGTTGTCTTTTGGAAAAAAAATCACCTTTGGGACAACCATGACCTGGATGATGGAGACTCTCCTAAGAAGTTGTGTTCCTCATGTTTTCATAATTTCAGACTTCAAACTACTATTATTGGTTTTTCTTTTGTATTTCTGCAGATCTCTCCAAAACACCGGTTGCGTATCAACCAAATCCTGCAGGCTGTGATCAGATCTGCCACTCACATAGACCACAAATTAGCCAAAGTGATCATCAAGCTGTCTGCTGAAGATATGCTAAGAACCACAGTAAGGACCAATGCAACCAAAGAAAACCCTTTCCCTCCCCAATTTATGTTTATGTTACCCTAAAAGAGGACCTGACCTGGGGTGCTCACATTGCAGCCCTGGTCAAAAGGGCCCAGCAGAGATTATACTACCTGAGACTTCTCAGGAAACAACAACTGAATGGAAAACTGCTGGTGACCCTCTACCGCTGCACCATAGAGAGTATCTTAACTTACTGCACCTGTGGATGGTTTGCCAATTGCACAGGGGTAGATAGGACAACACTCCAGAGGGTTTAATGTCATTGCCCTGAGGATCATGGGTTGCCCTCTCCCCTCTTTGGAAGAGCTTTATAGCTCCTGATGCGTTAAGAAAGTTCAAAACATTCTCAAAGATCCATCTCATCCTGGGCACCCTTTTTAGAATAGAATAGAATACTTTATTGGCCAAGTGTGATTGGACACATAAGGAATTTGTCTTGGTGTAAATACTCTCAGTATACATAAAGAAAAGGTACATTCATTAAGAATCAAGAATCAATTTACAACACTTAATGATAGTCATAGGGTACAATCAACAATCAAATCATACTAGGAAACAGTCAAGTGGGAGGGGATGGATGATAAGGAGCGGTGAGAAGATTAACAGTAATAGTAGTGCACTCTTTGTAAATAGTTGAACAGTGTTGAGGGAATTATTTGTTTAGCAGAGTGATGGCATTCAGGGGGAAAAACTGTCCTTGTGTCTAGTTGTTCTGGCGTGCAGTGCTCTATAGCGTCATTTTGAGGGAAGGAGTTGAAACAGTTTATGTCCGGGATGTGAGGGGTCTGTAAATAGGTTCAGAGCCCTCTTTTTGACTCGTGCAGTAATTGTTTTTCCTGCAGTCCTAATTATCCTCTGAAGTCTGTGTCTGTCCTGTTGGGTTGCAGAACCAAACCAGACAGTTCTAGAGGTGCAGATGATAGACTCAATCATTCCTCTGTAGAACTGGATCAGCAGCTCCTTGGGTAGTTTGAGCTTTCTGAGTTGGCATCTGGCAGACGATACAGAATAATAAAACAAGGGCAAATAGGCTGAAAAACAGCTTCTATCCCAGGGCAGTAGCTCTATTGAATTCTATTGTATAGTGCAGTGTTGGTTCGGTGTCAGGGTTTTCAATTCAATGTGTGGAGTGTGAAGGATGTGTGTTTGTGTTTATTTTTATGGTCATGATGTGCACTGAAGATGGTGTTTGATTTCATTGTATGAGGTGCAATGGCAATAAAGTAAAGTAAAGTAAAGTAAACAATTCCCTTTGGGTAAAATGTCCGGCCTTTGGGCTGCTCACAGTCATAGGAACATCTAACCCAGTGGTGGGATTCAAATTTTTTTACTACTGGTTCTGTGGACCTGGCTAGGTGGGCATGGCCAGTCGGTCATGTGACTGGGTAGGTGTGGCCATGTGGGTTTTGTCCTGCAGAACCCCCCCCCCCGCCCCATTTTTTTTTCCTACTGGGCCTGAGGGAAGCCTCCCTGAGTACTGAAAAAAGAAGCATTTTGAAAGTGAGTACAACAGCGAGGGGGGAATCTGCTGTGCCGCATGATTTAGGTTAGCTAGAAAGCAAGAAATCTGATGATTTCCTGCTTTCTAGCTAATCTAAATTGGGCGGCACAGCTGATTATCAGAAATACGAGTTCAGCTGAACTGGTAGCATTTTTTTTTTTTTACTACCGGTTCGTCCAAACCGGTCCGAACCAGTAGAATACCACTACTGAGCTGACCCAATGACTACAGGAATACCTAAGTATGTGGGTCCCCAAGAACTCATGGAAGGTGCATATTTGCATAGATCGCAGTTGGTTCTGTGAAAACAGGAGCTCCATCTTGATAAAGATGGAGAAGATTAAGGGAAGATTTGTTCCTCTTGCTACCTGAGGATAAGACGAGAACCGGTGGGTGGAAACTTTCCCATGACAGATCCAAACTTCACCTGGAGGAATTTCCTGACTTTGGAGCTATTAAGCAATGAAACGGTCTCCCTTCTGAAGTCGTGGGTCACTGGAGGTTTTCAAGAAGAGGCTGGACAGCCGTTTGTCCGGAATGGTATGAGTGTTCCTGGACTGGTCAAGGGGTTGGATTAGAAGACCTTTATGGTCCTTTCAAACCATCGATTCTGTCACTTATCAAAATGTTTGCCACACGGGAGAGGTCGGAACCAAAAGTCATAAGTTAAAAGTATGAAGAAGGTATTTCAGGTGAGATGCAACGGGAACTTCCTGACTATACAAACTGCCAGCCAATGAAAGAGGCAGCTACATCTCACAGTGGCTTCTTCGTTACTGGGGATCTTTGAACAAGGTCTGGGTGATTATCTGTCAAAGATCTAGTAGATCCTGCACCAGTTAGGGAATTGGACTAGAGACTTTTAATGATTCTTCCAATTCTCTAATTTTAGTCTGGCTGATCATGTGACTGCATCGGTTATTTTATTATTTATTTTTGTTACTTGTCAAGCAAGTATTAGATAACAGGTATAAGTATAAACATGATTATGAATACATGAAATGGATACGAGTAAAAGGGAACATTAGGACAGGGGTGGTAAGCATGTTCTCTTTGAATACAATTCTGCTTTTACACTGTGTTTCATCTTAATTTGTAGTGTCTTATTTTCACCTTTGATGGTTTCAAGTTATATTGTAAGCTCAAGAATTTTTCATTATTGGACAAGTCTCCTGTCCTTCCTTTGGAGGAAAGTTTATACTAAAGGCCCTCAGAAAACCTCCAATACAAATCTTCTACCAAAGCTTCATTCTTTTTTTAAAAAAAGGATGGTGGTGCAATGATTAGAATGCAGCATTGCAGGCTAATTCTGCTGATTGCTAGCAGTTTGAATCTCACCAGGCTCAAGGTTGATTCAGCTTTCTATCCTTCCGAGGATGGTAAAATGTTGGGGGCAAGAGGCTGACTCTGTAAACTGCTTAGAGAGGGCTGGAAAGCACTGTGAAGCATTATATAAGTCTAAGTGTGATTGCTATTTGAAGAATAAAGCAATAAGAAAGGTATGTTGTATATTTTCCATTGCTGGGGTCGGGGTGGGATGGAGAGAGAGAGAGAGACAGAGTGTTGTGGTTCGTGGGCAGCAGGTGTGGATGGCAGAGGTCTCGGAGAGTGAGGACTCAGAGGAGGGGCCTGTGTGTGATGTATGGATGGGGCCAGGACCATTAGGGAGTGGAATGCTGCCTTCGGAGATTGTGGAGGCTGGCAGCAATGATGAAGAGGAGCCTGAGGAGCCTGTGCCCAATGCGCATGCATGCAGGGCTGCTCGAAGGAAAGAGCAGCAGCAGTAGCATGGGCGACTCGGGAGTAAAACTGCAAGGTAATGGCCCCTCCCTTAAGAGATAAAAGCCAGCTGAGAAACCAGAGTTCTTTGCGGGAAGCAAATAAGTTTTTGCACTCAAGCTTTGTGGACATTCAGATTATCTTGGTTGATGTTTGGAGACTCTTTGTGTTTGGAACATTTCTTGGCAACTTAATCTAGTATTCTTGGCAGCCTTCCACAACCTTGGCAAGGCTTGTTCTTATCAGAGACAATTAGTTTTAATAGCCTTTTAACCGTGAATTAACAGAATTTGCAGAGAAGCATTAAAAGGTTTTGCTTTTATCTCTATTCGGTGTTTGTTTACTTGGAACAAGGTTTGGTCAGAACACACAGAGAGAGAAAGAGAGAGAAAGAGAGAAACAGAGACAGAGAGACAGAGACTGAGAGAGAGAGACAGAGAGAGGCACAGAGACAGAGATAGACAGAAACAGAGAGAGAGAAACAGAGAGAGAAACAGAGAGAGAGAGAGAGAGAAACAGAGAGAAACAGCGAAACAGAGAGAAA